TGTGGTACCTGAGTCTCATATAATGATAAAAACAGACATGGTCAACATTCATAGTTGTGGTACCTGAGTCTCATATAATGATAAAAACAGACATGGTCAACATTCATAACTGTGGTACCTGAGTCTCATATAACTTGTATAAATTTGGAGGCTTAGTCTTTTCACAATAAACTAGGCTAATTGAGATGTAACATTAAAGTTTGGCTGTTTACTTTATCTAACATAAGAAGATTACTAACTGTCCTGTTTTTAATGAGTGATAAGTGAACAAGTAACCTGTGTTTGGTTTACCATCTGTAATGACTTGCAGTATCATGACTTGAAAATTACTTACTGCATGTTTTTAATGAGTGATAAGTGAACAAGTAACCTGTGTTTGGTTTACCATCGGTTATGACTTCCATTATCATGACTTGAAAATTACTAACTGTCATGTTTTTAATGAGTGATGAGTGAACAAGTAACCTGTGTTTGGTTTATCATGACTTGAAAATTACCGACCCTTTCGTAAAAAAACATTACTAGAATATAATTATTGTGAAAATAAATAATCTATGACTGGAATATGAGACACCGATTTGAAACCATTTAACACTCAAGTTTGTTTTTGTATGTTTTAAAATAACTTGTCATGAAGACTGACAGATACGAGTAGTGGAGTTTAATATGTTTTAATAATCTGGCTGATGATGGATACTGACAAGTAGTAGAGTTTAGTATGTTTTAATAATCTGGCTGATGATGGATACTGACAAGTAGTAGAGTTTAGTATGTTTTAATAATCTGGCTGATGATTAAAATCTAGTCTAGCTATAAAGATTATTAAACAGAGGTATGTGTTGCATTACTAACATAAAATATTTTTGACATGAAGTCAAAGATCCTGAAACATTACAGTTTAAGTTTACTGTTCTGAATAACCTAGTGCTACAACCTGGTTAGTGAGCAAGATGTGGTAGCTAGGATAGAAGAAGTGAGGGCCCAGAAAGGCTGTTTAGGGATACAGGTTCGACAAAGTCTACAGAAGAAAGAAACCCAGCAACACTGGGAACGTTTTAAGTTACCACATAGACTGGACCAGAAAGGTAGGAGAAAGTTAACTCTAGTATAATTCCCTTTTAAGCTTTTGTATTTTTGCCAGTAAAGTTTCTGTGTTATAGATCATAAAGTTTAACTAAGGAATCGTTAACAATTGTAGAAAAATATATTAGTTATGTTTAACCTCTTCCTAGGTGGTTCACCATTTCTTTTCTTGTAAAATCACATTTATATTTTGTTACTTTGTGAATGAATGAATTTTAGCATAAAAACCCTTTTAAATTAACTAATTCAAAATTCATCTTATAAAATTATAAGTACTAAAAGTCCTGTAATGCACTTTTTTAATGTTGTAATTTGTTTAAATTTAATGTTTTCTGGATAATTAATCATCTGTGCAGCATAGCAGGCTATTTTATTTTTGCTTTAAAGTAACTTAAACCTAAATATTTCATTTAATTCAGAACATGTATAGAGCTTTAAGCCTTGTTACATCTGTAATGGAAAATAAATGTCTCTTTGAGGACTGTGGTTATTTCCATATATTTGTTTAATAACCTTTATCATAGTTGTTGTAGTTGACTTTCTGTTTGATTCAACTACTAATTAGCTGTGAAAACTCATTAAAAATGCTCACATTTGTTTAAAACAAAGGTTTCAATAAGTTCATTAGAGTTAAATGGTAGAGTATCTCATAAAAAATTATTGGTTTAAAAGTTAAATGGTAGACAATCTGATAAAAAATTATTGGTTTAAAGAGTTAAATGGTAGAAAATCTCATAAAAAATATGGGTTTAAAGAGTTAAATGGTAGACAATCTGATAGAAAATTATTGGTTTAAAGAGTTAAATGGTAGAAGTCTACCATTTAACTCTTTAAACCCATATTTTTTATGAGATACTCTACCATTTAACTCTTTAAACCAATAATTTTCTATCAGATTGTCTACCATTTAACTCTTTAAACCCATAATTTTTTATGAGATACTCTACCATTTAACTCTTTAAACCCAATAATTTTCTATCAGATTAATCTCATTGAATAATTATTTTTTAGTAGAAAAATTATGTCATCAAAAGGAATACGAAAAGTTTGTCAAGAAACGAGAAAACTTTCAACAACTCAATCAATTGTACCTTGAGAGGGAAATGAAAGATGGACATTTTATTGAGGTAAACTGATATTACAACTTTCTTTTACCTTTAATTAGGTGTAATGGGGGTGTGTGCCTTGGTCAGGGTTCAACATTAACTTATTCACCTTGTTGGGATGGGTAGCAAACTAAGTTTACCTGAACCACTAAGTTTTTGACCTGTCCAATATGTGGCCTTGATTAAATTGTATTAGTTTCATATGTTTGATTCAAAGAAAAGGTAGAAAGTCACCAAGTTCACGATGTTTATATTTTTAAGATAAAAATTGTAATAACACGTGATCTATGATAGTTTTGTTGACTTCATTTCTGTGATGTAACTGTCCACGAGCCTTTCAAAAACTTGATTAACTTCATGGGTGGCCTTGTGGGAACAAGATTTCCAACGGCTTCTGACATTTTCAACTCTCTATGGAGTATACAACCAGTGAAAAAAAAAGTTGATTTTTTATCAGCAATATCTTGTGCTTGTTGACAAACAATGCAACTCATGACTGCATCAGTGTCCTCTATGCCCATAAACTCTTCTTTCCATGACAGCACAAATGCGTGTCTTTATTTTTCCTGCTCGTACATTTCTTTCAGGCTGTGATAACACTGCTCTTGCTTGCCCAGTGTAAAATGTGTATCAGTGTCTGTTTGTTTTTATTTACATTGTAGTTGGGGGTTCGAGAAAATGAAACAAAGTTCACACACGTGAAAAAAAGAACCTGTTGACACATGAAATGTGTCCAATTAGGAATTCTTGTAAGGATTTCCCAAAATAACAAATCAGGTAACAGTTAGGAGTCATGTAATACGGTTTTTGAGTTTGCCACTTGTTATCCTCACATAAATCATTTAGTTTTTATTTATCAGAAGGTCTAACATCTCTGGTGTAACGCTGTCAACTACCTGTTCATGTCAAATTGTGATGGAAAGCAATGAATGCATTCTGTGATCTCATGCAAAGGAAATGAAAATTTTTTTATAGTCCACCTGCTCATTGAACAATTGCACAAAGCTCATTATCTGTCCATCAGTTATATATGTCTATCCTGGATGGTCGGACAAGCCTTAATGTCGAGCCCTGACCTTTGTGGGATTAGTGTTTGAACAGTTTCTGAGTTAATCCTGTCAGGTCAGGTTCCACATTTTACTAAAAGTAAACCGAAAACATACTGCTGACCAAAAACCTTGGAAGGAACATTGATAACTTAGTGATGGGAAAAATGGCGACCTCATAAAACAATGTTTTTTAGCCATACATTAAAATATATTACTTAAATCACTTAGAATAACAAGGTAAAGAGTAATACTTAAGTTAACTCAGATTACCAAGAAAAGATTAAAATCACTCAAATTATCAAGGGAAACAGTAAAACTTAAGATCACACAGACTACCAAGGTAAATAGTAAAATTTAAGACCACTCGGATTATCATGATAAAGAGTAAAACTTAAGATCCACTACAAAGAAAATTAAAAGTTGAGGTAACTCAGTTAATTTGTAAATGGGAGAAAACCCAGATCTTGTAAGAAAGATTTATATAGTTTATAAATGAAACATTTCTTCAGTCTACTTTTGCAGACTTGAAAAGGTGTTAAAATGTTTACAATTTTTGTCAATTGTAGAGTAAAAAATTTGCTGTATAACATAATATTTACAAATATTTTCTTCATCTTGTTAATGAAATGACTTTAATTTACTATTTGCTCCTTTATGTGCATGTTATAATGTGGGCAGGATCATAGACATCGAAACAAGGAATTAAACAGACAGTGCAGGGAAGAAGCTGAACATAAGGCCAAGGTTAGTGGATTAGTCATTAAACGTTATGAGACAAAGATTAAATATGTAAATTACATTATTTCTTTAATAAAATGGGTACAAAAAAATTATCAACTATATTTAGTTCATGTGCAATATCAAGATCGTTTCTGGGGTTTCAAACCTTGTTTATGGACAGAAAAGTAAAACAAGCTTTAATATAACTCATCCAACATCTTAGGTTTAATATAAATCAACCAAAAGAAGTGTTCAGTGTTTTATTTAGTTAACTCACCCAACATCTTAGGTTTAATATAAATCAACCAAAAGAATTTTGGTTGATTTATATTAAACCTAAGATGTTGGATGAGTTAACTACATAAAACACTGAACACTTCTTTTGGTTGATTTATATTAAACCTGAGATGTTGGATGAGTTAACTACATAAAACACGAAGTGTTCGGTGTTTTATGTAGTTATCTCATCCAACATCTTAGGTTTAATATAAATCAACCAAAAGAAGTGTTCGATGTCTCATGTAGTTACCTCATCCAACATCTTAGGTTTAATATAAATCAACTAAAACAAGTGTTCAGTGTTTTATGTAGTTATCTCATCCAACATCTTAGGTTTAATATATAAAAGAAGTGTTCAATGTCTCATGTAGTTACCTCATCCAACATCTTAGGTTTAATATAAATCAACTAAAACAAGTGTTCAGTAGGTTATCTTAGGTGTTCGATCTATTTCTTGTCAAGTGTGTACTTTGCACATTAGCTGAAAGAGTTCCGAATGTTTATATAAAATAGGAATTTGGTTGTCAATATCAGTTTCAGTAATGTGGCTAGAAGACATAACTTCTGAGTTAAAATTACAGATATATACTAAAATCATTTCACAGGGTTTTTAGTGATTTTTCACATTAAAGCAACTACAATAAAGGTTAGTCATGTGCCATATTTATAAAATTTACATTATTTTCACGGCTTGCTTTTTTTTTCTGTCAGGAGAAGGAGATGAGAAGACAACAAGCTGCTATACTGAGAGAGCAGGTAAGGGAGTTTTTGTATTATTACACATGATAGAAGGGATTCTGTCTGTATGGTTTGTACAAAGTATCTTTGGTGATGAGAAAAATTGGTTGTTCCTTCTTTGTCTGTGATGTCAAGTCAGCCGATAAACTAATTATTATCTGTAAAGTTCTATAATGAAAGATATCAATCCTTCTTTGTCTGTGATGTCAAGTCAACCAATAAACTAATTATTATATGTAAAGTTCTATAATGAGAGATATCAATCCTTCTTTGTCTGTGATATCAAGTCAACCGATAAATTAATTATTATCTGTAAAGTTCTGTAATGAGAGATATCAATCCTTCTTTGTCTGTGATATCAAGTCAACCGATAAATTAATTATTATCTGTAAAGTTCTATAATGAGAGATATCAATCCTTCTTTGTCTGTGATATCAAGTCAACCGATAAACTAATTATTATCTGTAAAGTTCTATAATGAGAGATATCAACCCTTCTTTGTCTGTGATATCAAGTCAACTGATAAACTAATTATTATCTGTAAAGTTCTATAATGAGAGATATCAATCTTTCTTTGTCTGTGATATCAAGTCAACTGATAAACTAATTATTATCTGTATAGTTCTATAATGAGAGATATCAACCCTTCTTTGTCTGTGATATCAAGTCAACTGATAAATTAATTATTATCTGTAAAGTTCTATATCAGATATAATATGCTGACAAACATAACACTAGTAATTCATGTATTACTAAATTAGGTAAAAATATACTCAGTTACAATATGTAGAATAGGTTGTTGTGCGGGTACACAAATATACGTCCAGTTCACAAAAATTTTAGTAAAAAGATAAATTATGAAACTTTTATTTTCATTTAGTCATAAAATACAGACTGAAGTTATCAAATAAGTAAAGTATATTGATAAAAAATAAACAAATGTCTGGCACCAGGGAACTTATTCCAAAAATAGTTAACAGCACTCTCCAGTTGAAGAGATTTCGTGTGACCTGAGTGTAGGTCATTTACCACCCCTGAGTCATCACAGTTTCTCAGCTGTTCTTTATTAATTTAAATCTAGAAAATTATCTTTCACGAGCACAAACTTACCAGCAAAGTAAATATCAGTCGACAGGGGAGAGGGGCATTTGGATGAAGTTGATCCTGGCCATGAATGACCTTAAGAGTGTGAAGGTAATCTGGTTTTTGGAATGAGGTGGTCAACATTCATATATTCCACATAGAAGATAGAACAAAGTCTATTTTTATTGTGTAGTTTGACAAAGCAGTGTAATACCGAAATGACTTTAGAGAGCTGTGAGTGTCCAATGTCTTATTGAAAAAGGTAACTCTCCGTCAATATCTGGCTACAATAATAGTTTGAATATACCAATATTTATCATTATGGTGAGGAAATGACCCTTTCCATGGATCAGAACCAACATTATGATGACTGCCAACTATCTGTCAAACCTCAATTTATTATACTGTCATTCAGTTTCAGACATGAGTGATCCAGAGTGAACAGATGGAGTCAGTACATTCCTGGATACAAGTTGGAGATGTTTTGAGACCATGCTGTAGAAGATTACTTAATGTAGATAAAATTCAAAATCCATGGCTTTCAGCAACATGGTGGCTTCTCCAGCAGTATCATGGTCAAAAGTGCCATCTTTAGTGGTCCCTTCCAAAGTTGGCCTAACAAACAAACCTGTCTTTTCTAAAACAGAACAGTTGTCAACACAGTATCATGGTCAAATGTGCCATCTATAGTGGTCCCTTCCAAAGTTGACCTGCCAAACAAACCTGTCTTTTCTAAACCAGCACAGTTGTCAAAACAGTATCATGGTCAAAAGTGCCATCTTTAGTGGTCCCTTCCAAAGTCGACCTGACAAAAAATCTGTCTTTTCTAAAACAGCACAGTTGTCAACACAGTATCATGATCAAAAGTGCCATCTTCAGTGGTCCCTTCCAAAGTTGGCCTAACAAACAAATCTGTTTTTTCTAAACCAGTACAGTTGTCAACACAGTATCATGGTCAAAAGTGCCATCTTTAGTGGTCCCTTCCAAAGTTGACCTGACAAACAAATCTGTCTTTTCTAAAACAGCACAGTTGTCAACACAGTATCATGGTCAAAAGTGCCATCTTTAGTGGTCCCTTCCAAAGTTGGCCTAACAAACAAATCTGTCTTTTCTAAAGCAGAACAGTTGTCAACACAGTATCGTGGTCAAAAGTGCCATCTTTAGTGGTCCCTTCCAAAGTTGACCTGACAAACAAATCTGTCTTTTCTAAAGCAGAACAGTTGTCAACACAGCTATAAAATTAAGTTCAATTATTGTGTTTTATACTTAACTTATACAACATTATGTTCACTTAATAGCAAATGTTGATTTTATCTTTTTTTTCTTTCTAAAATGAAAAAAAGAGAAAAAATTTTCAAGAAAATTAAGTGGGCTAGTCTGGGCCTAAATGTTGTGACATCTCTGCCCATCATTATTATTTACTTTTTTAATTTTTTAAAAATGCTTGGTACAATCAATTATTGTTATTAACACATCCCTCAGGAGCCAAAGGGGTATCTTTACATTACAGTTTGTTGAATATTAAAAGTAAGTTCAATCTGGAAACTCCCAAAAGTGGATGGTTTTGGACGTATGTTTTCGAGACAAGTTTTCGTTTGTTAATTGATAAATTTTTAAGTGAACTACAGCATCCTCAAGTCTCCATACTAGCTAGTACTAGGGTCTACCCGTTGGGAGTAAATTTAGTATATATCAGTAAAGCCACATTCTCAACATCATTAATTAAGCAACTGCCAACCTTTTATGCTTCTTCTATCACCTTTTTATGTTTAGCTTTCAAATGAGATATGAACGATTTCACCTGTAATTTGGTAGGGAAGATCGAAGAATCACGATAGACAGCAGTTGGATGAGCAGACAGGAACACTTCGAAAGAAGCTACAGGCATAATATTGTGCTTGACTTGCCGCACAATATCTACCAAGGTGGTTTTAAATGGTTTCTGAATATCTTTGCATGTCATTTGGAAACTTCCATGTTTCTTGTGCTTGGCCATTAAGCCAGATTTCAGGCACTTTACCACTTCAAATCACTTTTCGCAGCCCCAACGTTAAAAAATGTGGGAAATGCCTTCTTTTTAGCCAATAAACATGTCCAAAAAATTTCAGTTCAGATTAAGAAAAACTGGATTGGTAGTTTTTTTTTCATGTCTAATAACTTATGAGTGAAAGCAAAGAATAATATATAATGAGGCCTATCACTAACACCAGGGTTCATTATTTCAACTGACATATGATAGATACAATATATCAAATATCATGTGTATTAAGTTGGTGATATGTTTTATAATTTTATATCAAGCTAATTGTGGAAATTAATCATAAAGGAAGTTCAGTATTACCTGTAAAGTTAATGAGAAGTCCTATAATTATAATTATTCATTTCATATTAAATGTTAAAAATCAACTTTAGTATAATTGATGAATTATTGTCTATTATACAAAGTTCACTATGAAAATTAATAATCAAGCAAATTAAATCTTATTTCTATATTGGGTTAAAATTCCCGTATTTATAGTTCTAGTTATTATTATTTTTGTTCTAGTATAATATCTGATTTGTTTCTTTCTTGTACTACCCAGGAATTGCAGAAACAAAGAGAAATGATCGTGATGATTGGTTTGGTAGGTGCATTTTTTTTGTCACTTTCCCACTTACATTCAGTAATGGTTAAAAGTTATTACCAACAAAGTTTATCAACACCATTGTTAAAGGGTTAACCCTTTCCAGACGTGTCATGGGTCAAAGGCCATGTCATCACATTTGTTGACTGGCATTCAAAATTTTATTGAACTACTATTTTATGAACTTATGTCAATAAGTTTGGTATCAAATTGTAGATTATAATTCAAATTTTAGTATGATACATTATTCAATTTCTTAATTTAAAAATGGATATTAAAAAACACTTAAACATTGATTTTTGTGTGTCATGTGGTATGTTGAATGCAGCACTGGTTCAAATTAGATGTTTGTGAAGTTAAAATACTAAGTCTATAGTTTCGTATGAATTAGAAATTCAAATTACCAATATTGACAAGCTATAATATACAATAAGAACCTCATATCTTTTCTATTTGCTGAGATATTGCTCATACACTGAATCAAACATAGTGGCTCTTCTCACTTCTTTCCAGTTTTGGAAATGGACCCTTATATACACTTACTTCAATATATGACATGTGAATAACCAATCAAAATGTCCCCCTAGTGCCTTTCTTAGTCATTTTAAAGTGTTAGGACACCATCTTGTTCTTTTGAATTAGGATTTCAAGGAGGTAGGTTGTGTATTTAGTCTGCTCAAAATTTCATATTTTTTAGGCCCAAATAAAGCTTAGTTACTAAGCTTAATAAACTATAGTAGAATTCTATGGTATTGATGTAGTAATTTATGATTTTTTAGTTATTCAAATGCATATATAAAACCTAAAAAAATTATTTTGTTTCATATCCTCCACGTGCAAAATTTTTAAAAGCTTAGCAACCTACACGAAGAAGCAAGCAAGAAAAAAGGTTGTAACTAGAAGAGATAATTGTTTGTTTTATTTCTTTATTTACTGTTCTATGTTTTAAGAAAAATAAGTTGAATAACTTATTTCTAAATAGTAATAATCTATATACATATATAATGTATAATACTTGGAAATGTGACTGTATTTTACAAAATACTAGTCTACTAAAACACAGCCAAGACAGGTCACTTTGTAAAGATTAAAGGTCAGTTTTATAATATTTGATACGTAACATGAGAGCATGTGTGCCGAATCATTGAAACTTCTGTATTGTTAGTCAGGCATGGCTGAAAGGTCAATATAATAAAAATAATATATATATATATATATATATATATAATG